GGGGGCGGGGCCCGATGGGGGGGCGCCTGCCCGCAGTGCGCTAGCAAGGGGAGCCTTCTCGTTCACAGCACCCAGGGCCCAGGGTTCTAGAGCTCCCTGGGGAGAGCGGAGGCCTTTCCGCCTCTGACAGGACAGCCGGGGGTGGCGGGAGCTCGGGGCCTCGCAGGCAGAGAAGCCAGCGTGTCCCCTGCATGTCCAGCCTTCCGCCTACCTGCCTTTCTTGTTTCAAACCTTAGGTAATAAATAGTTCTCAAACCTGACAGGTGCCATTTTAAGTTGGGGACATTTGTAAAAGTAACAATCTACCTGTTGTCGAATATCCAAGTAGTTACTGAGTTTTTTTTTAGTTGGATGGTTTTTCTTTTTCTCTAGCATGACAAAGACATTTTCTTAAAACAACTTACTTTGACATTGACTTCAAAACAGAAAGTTTGCAAAAAATAGTGCAGAATCCTTGTATCCGGCTGGTGGATGGCGTTTACATTTTGCTCTGTGTGTCCTGTGAGCCAGCGATTCAGCTCAGTAGGGTCCCCTCAGCTGCGGTCTTCATGGGGGAGGCCAGCAGGTCTTTCTCTTCAGTTGTCACTGGTCCGCTGAGTAGCAGCCAAGGGCATCGGCTTGTGCCTCAGGACGTGTGTGTGCGTGTGTGTGTGCGCGCTCGTGTGTGTTTGCAGTTGCCCCCCTCTTTCTCTGTGTGTGTGCGCGTGTACATGTGTGTTCGCAGTCACCCCCTCTGTGTCCTTGCACGCATGTGTGTTTGCAGTTGCCCCCTCTCCCTCTGTGTGTGTGTTTTCACGCGCCCCCGCCCCCTCTCTGTGTGTGCACACGCATGTGGGCGCCCCCTCCTCGTTGGAGGCCCCGCGTGGTTCAGTGGTTAAGTGCCCCACTCCCCCCGACAAGCTGCCATCGGAAGCAGCTGTGAGGACAGGCCTGGCCTCCTGGACAGTCAGGGCCTGGAGCCCTGTGTGGCGTGTCCACTCTGCTCACTCAGAGACACCGACAGCCAGCGTCACGTAGGCAAACGGCAGCAGGTCCTGCTTTTGTCTCCTAGGAGGGCTTCCCGAGGACTTTCTGAACTCCTTGGAGAAGACAGAGGACAACAAGCTGAAGGTGACTCTCAAGTACCCCCACTATTTCCCCCTTCTGAAGAAGTGCCACGTGCCCGAGACCAGGAGGAAGGTGGAAGAAGCCTTCAACTGTCGCTGCAAGGAGGTGAGGGCTCCCCGCCCTGGAGCCTTCCTGCCCAGGCGTTCCTCACCGCCCAGGCAAACCCCCAGTCCACGTGTGTCTGTCACTGCCCTCGAGGGCCACAGAGCACTGAGGGCCCTCGGCCTGGCCGGGCCTGGTCTGCGGCAAGTCCTGTCGAGGCACCGACTCCTAGCAGTCGTGCCCGGTGATGCACCCTGGAGCGTTCCCTAGGCTGTAACTGCGGCCCAGCCCTCCCTTGTGGGGGGATGAATGGGCTCGGGGAGCAGCTTAGTGCCCGGCTCTGTAAAGGGCACGGTCAGAGCCTCTACCCTGCTCGCCCCCCCCCCCCGAAGACCAGGCCTGCAGCCCCTTGGGAAGACCTGCATTGTTATGGTTTGGGAAAGTTTGAGTTTTGTTTACAAAAATACTACTTTTCATGGCATTTTTGAGAACATTTAAGAAAAGAAACAGACCCCAGACCCCTTTGTCCTGATTCCCTTGGTGGTGGTAGTGGTGGTCAGAGGCCCCGTGTAACTGAGGACAGCTGCCACGCATCTCCCAGGCTGTCAGCTTTCTGGGGGCTCAATGGTGAGCCTTCCTCCCTGGACCCTCATGGTTTCAACGTGCTGACCTTTTGGTGAGCAGGCCAGCACTCAACTGCTGCGCCACCAGGACTGCAGCTTCGGGGTCGGAGCTCTGTCTCCCTGTGTGGCAGCCCCTCTCCTCTCACTGTGTCACCCCCGCCCCAACCCTCTCCCACTGCTCCCTGTGGGCGCTGGATGCCTCCCAGGGGAAGAGTCGGGGGCAGGGGTGAGCACAGCGGGGCTCTGACAGCAGGTTCTTTGTGTCCAGGAGAACTGTGCCATCCTCAAGGAGCTGGTGGCCTTACGGGCACAGAAGTCCAGCCTGCTGGGGTTTAGCACGCACGCTGACTACGTACTGGAGATGAACATGGCCAAGACCAGCCAGGTGGTGGCCACCTTCCTAGGTAACCCCAGCTCCCCCACCTCAGTCCGTGGCTGCCGAGCAAGGGCTGCTCGGAGGCCCCAGCCGAGCCCCCTCTCCTCCTGCCCTGTGGTGTGGCCTCACCCCAGAGCCCTCATTCACTTCCCGGCCCGTGGCCCACCCTGGAGTCTTCTCTGCTTCCCTGGCAGTCTCCGGCGTCCCTAGCAGCACCCTGTCTATTTGCATGTTGCGGTTGACTGCTGTGCAGCAGATATGCGGTTTCCAGTACCCATGGGCCGCGGGGTCAGGCCCGGGTCTGGCCGTGGGCTGTGGGGTCAGGCCCGAGTCTGGCCGTGGGCCGTGGGGTCAGGCCCGAGTCTGGCCGTGGGCTGCGGGATGAGGCCTGAGTCTGGCCCTGGCCTGTGGGGTCAGGCCCGAGTCTGGCCGTGGGCTGCGGGATGAGGCCTGAGTCTGGCCCTGGCCTGTGGGGTCAGGCCTGAGTCTGGCCCTCATGATTTGGCTTCAGAGCTACATCTTCGAAGAGAATCAGCCTGCCCTCCGTGGTGTGTGGGGCTTGAATGCAGGGTGACAGGTGCTACTCTGGTTCACGCTGTGCCAATTTTACAAGAGCGTAGTGGCTGCCACTGTATTGTAGCCCAGAGCCCTGAGGTCCAGACATGTGTTCAGGGGCCCATTGTGCAGGCCACTCCTAGGACAGGCTGCATAGCCCCACAGCCCCTCAGTCAGCCCACGGCCCCCTCAGGCACCTCACAGCCACTTTAGTCACCCCACAGCCTCGTTGGCGAGCACAGCCCCTGAGATCATGACCCCCAGGGCAGAGCCCGTCCCAATGGTGAGCCCATATCTTGTCTTGAGCCACCTGCCCAGACAGTAACCTCTGCCCTCTGCCCTCGCAGACGAGCTGGCCCAGAAGCTGAAGCCCCTTGGGGAGCAGGAGCGCGCTGTGATCCTGGAGCTGAAGAAGGCCGAGTGTGAGCGGCGGGGGCTGCCGTTCGACGCGCGCATCAATGCCTGGGACATGCGCTACTACATGAACCAGGTGGAGGAGACGCGCTACAGCGTGGACCAGAACCTGCTCAAGGAGTACTTCCCCATGCAGGTGGTCACGCGCGGGCTGCTGGGCATCTACCAGGAGCTGCTGGGCCTGGCCTTCGAGCAGGAGGAGGGCGCCGCCGTGTGGCACGAGGACGTGCTGCTGTACTCCGTGCGCGACGCGGCCTCTGGCCAGGTGATCGGCAAGTTCTACCTGGACCTGTACCCTCGGTGCGTGTGCTGGGGGGGCAGGACGGGGCTCCCCAGCCTGACTGTGCTCTCCCTCTGGACGAGGCAGGGTTGGGGCCCTTCTCCACCTGTTGTCCCAGGGGCCTGTTGGGCTGCTGGAGAAGCCCCCTGACTCAGACTCCCCCCAGGGAAGGCAAGTATGGGCATGCGGCCTGCTTTGGCCTGCAGCCGGGCTGCCTGCGGCCGGACGGGAGCCGCCAGATCTCCATTGCGGCCATGGTGGCCAACTTCACCAAGCCCACACCGGACGCCCCGTCCCTACTGCAGCACGACGAGGTGGAGACCTACTTCCATGAGTTTGGCCATGTCATGCACCAGCTCTGCTCCCAGGTGGGTGCTCAGGGTCCCAGGGTGAGGGTGTGCTTCATGTGGGGGGACATGCGCCCTGCTCCTAGGTGGACACTCGGTCCCACGGTGAGGGTGTGCTTCATGTGGGGGGACATGCGCCCTGCTCCCAGGTGGACACTCGGTCCCAGGGTGAGGGTGTGCTTCATGTGGGGGGACACGCGCCCTGCTCCCAGGTGGGCGCTTGGGGTTCCAGGGTGGCTTCATGGGGGGGACACTGCTCCCAGGTGGGCACTCAGGGGTCCAAGGGCATGGTTTAGGGGGGTGCACCTGGCCTGCTTCCAGGTGGGCAGGTAGAAGGCAGTCTGGGTTCTGAGAGCACAGGCCTCTTGGGCAGCTCACCTGGAGTATGACCGTGGTGAGGTGTGTCCCTACCATAGGGTCAGTTATGTTGGTAGAAGGTGCTGGGTGGCCTCTTGCACTGGGGTCCGGCTCAGGCCGCAGCAGGCTGAGTGGACATGGCCTGCGCCCACAGGCGGAGTTCGCCATGTTCAGCGGCACACACGTGGAGCGGGACTTCGTGGAGGCGCCCTCGCAGATGCTGGAGAACTGGGTGTGGGAGCGAGAGCCACTGCTGCGCATGTCCCAGCACTACCGCTCGGGCAGCGCCATGCCCCCCACGCTGCTCGACCGGCTCATCGAGTCCCGGCAAGCCAACACCGGTGCGTGCGGATCAGCCGCTGGGCACAGGGCCCGCAGGGTCAGCCAGCAGACGCAGGGGTCCAACCATCAGCCAACAGATGTAGGGGTCCACACACACAGAGCCTGGGGAGTCAGCCAGCAGACACGGGTCCACACACACAGGGCCTGGGGAGCCAGCTAGGAGATGCAGGGGTCCACAATCACTGCGGTGTGACCACCAGCAGACACAGGCACAGGGTCGTCAACAGACAGAGGCGGGACATAAAGGGTCTGCAAACAAGCTGGGCACAGAGGGTGCCAGCACATCCCAGAGTGCAGGGCATATCAGCCAGCAGATTCCGGGGACACGGGAAGTCAACCGATAGATGTCAAGGCACAGGGGGCCTCTGCCGAGAGACGCTGGGGTGCAGGGAGTGTCATCCAGCAGGTCTTGGGGCACAGGGGTGCCAGCGGTCAGTGAGGCCAGCCTAGGCTCCGCTTGGCCCTCAGGTTAGGGTAACACTGGGCCCACTCCTAGCCTGTTCCCCCAGTGTGAGGATCAAAGTTGAAGGCAAGGGGAGCAGTGGGCCCAGGTGGGCGCCTGGGTGGTGCAGGTGCTGCCCTCTTCCTCCCTCCAGGACCTTCCTCCTCCTCTCTCTAGGTCTCTTCAACCTGCGCCAGATTGTCCTGGCCAAAGTGGACCAGGCCCTTCACACACAGACAGGCGCTGACCCGGCCGAGGAGTATGCCCGGCTCTGCCAGGAGATCCTGGGGGTCCCCGCCACGCCAGGTAACCCTCAGGGTCGGGTGCTCCTTCATAGGAGCAGGGCCAGAGGGATGGTAGACCCAGGGACAGGGCCAGTGTGTAATTTAGAGTTGGACGGCTTCCTAGGAGACCTCAGAGCCTCTGGCCTGTCTCAGGTGGACGTGTCACCTGTCCTGTGGCTCAGCCTCCGGCACCTGGTGGGGGTCACACAGTGACCACCCTCCAGTCCTGGGGTCCCACCCTGTGGTTCTCATGCGCCGAGAGGGCAGGCTCGCTGGCCGCACAGCCATCCCGCCCCAACACGAGGCCCGATGCAGGAGCCCCAGCCCGGGCTCAGGGGCCCCACAGCCGCCCTGCACTGGGCCTGTACCTCAGCATCTTGAGCCTGGACTTTAAATCCTCCAGTGGGAGTCGTGCCCGCATCCCCATGACGGTGAGATCCTGGAGAACACCAAAGGACAGACGAGGCGCTCCCCTGGAGTGCAGGGCCCCAGCGTCCCGTGTGTGCACGCGTGTGCCCGGGCGTCAGTGCACATTGAGCCAGGAGCGTGCACACACACTGCTGGGCCATCACGTGTGTGGGTGGCACTGTCACTTCTCAGGCATTTAGAAGTCGTGGCAGGAGTTCTAATCGCACGCTCCTTCTTGTGGGTCAGAGCCATGTCCAGTCCCCCTCTCCATGGGACCCCCGACATCGTGTGCCCCACGTCCTCGGCATTCTCCCCTCCTACCTCAGCGGTTCACTCCCTCTGCAGGTGTCCCCCCAACTTGGCACACCTCACTCTCTGTGGGCAGTGATCCCCACTCTCTCCACGATGTTTGGGCCTCCCCCAGACCCCCCACCGTGCAGGAAGCCAGGATCAGGTTAAGGTCCGGCAGGGAAATGTTATGAGTAGCAGCCCGTGGCCCACATGCTCTGCTCAGATGCCTGGCTCTGCCTCCTCCCACGGCCCAGCAAACAGTGACTCACCAGCAGTGTGGAAGCTGCTTTTCTCTCTGGTTGGGGTCTGTGACGTGGAGTGAGGGCTCACTGAGTATCCCCCCAGGCACCAACATGCCGGCCACTTTCGGCCACCTGGCGGGAGGCTATGACGCCCAGTACTACGGCTACCTGTGGAGTGAGGTCTACTCCATGGACATGTTCCACACGCGCTTCAAGCAAGAGGGCGTCCTCAGCAGCAAGGTGAGGCCCTCCCGCCCTTCCTCTGCGGGGTGAGGACCAGGCTGGGGACTGTGGGTCCTGCCTATAGGAGCTAGTCCACGCCCCGAGGTGGAGGTGGGGATGGAGGGCTGGCCGCGCGGGTGGGCCTGTGCTGCCTCCAGCCCCCCCCCCCCAGGACACCTCCTGCATGGACACTGACCCCTCTGGGCAGGGTGGGTGGGACAGGGTGAGGAGGGACTGTGGCTCCCTCACTTGGGGGTGGACAGAGGCTGTGGCCCCTGTCCAGTGACCTGCCCTCCCCCGCAGGTGGGCCAGGACTACCGGAGCTGCATCCTGCGGCCCGGCGGCTCCCAGGACGCCAGCGCCATGCTGAAGCTCTTCCTGGGCCGTGAGCCCCGGCAGGACGCCTTCCTCTTAAGCAAGGGGCTGCAGGTGGAGAGCCACGAGCCGCCAGCCTGCTGACCAGCACCGGACCTGAGCGTCCGCCCGGGCACGGGGGTCTAGAGGGGTCACGTGCCTGCTGGTGCTTCCTCTGGGTTTCGTGACCCCACCCCTGGGCTCAGAAGGCTTCTGGACGTCCAATGGGCCTGGTCCCCAATGTTGCACTATCCCCTCCTAACACCCCTTGAACGGAGCCAGCAGCCTCCAGCCTGCACCCCCGCCTTTTCTGAGCAGTCGTATGACTCTGGTGTTCTGCTGCCGCCATGCCCTGGTGTCTGTTAAATTAAACCTTGTGTTTGTCGGGGAGCAGACCCAGGTTTCCCCCTGCCTGCAGCAGGGCACCCGCCCCCCAGATTCTCTCCAGGCAAGGGGGCTGGGGCGTAGGAGCACTCCTGGGCCTTTCCCGTCCGGGATGTCTCTCCTGCCCCTCTGTTCATTGCTGCCCAGCCCTGGAAGGCCAGACCCTGTGCCCCTTGGCTGAGGCTTCGGGTGTGGCCATCCTGTGCTCACCCTGTGAGGTGTCTTCTCAGGCGCCCTGGGACTGGTCCAGCCATGCTGCTGGTGCATGCGGCTCCGCCTTGTCCCTGTGGCCTTGTAGCTCCTCATCTGTCGTCCCTGCTGTCTGGACGACATCTCTGCTGTGGTGGAAGTTGTCAGCGCTGTCATGCCAGTTCTCACAGTGCTGCCGGATGCTGCTGCACCCCCTCCCCACTCCGCTGTGCTTCACCCTTGCTGCAGCTGCTTCGTCCACCCCTCTCCTGGAGGGTCCCCCCTTTACCTGACACCATGTCCTCCAGGGACTTGCCCCTGCTGGCAATATGTCCAGCGTCTGTGGCCTGAGATGAAGCCTCCCCATCCTCCTCTCAGGAGCCTTCTGGCTATAGTGCCTGCAAGTCGCGTTTGTTCATCCTTCTGATTGTTGCAGTGAGCGCTGAGTCAGACCCTCCCAAAGCTGGCCCACCAGCAGGTTTTCAGGGGCACTTAGTTGCACAGGAGGAGAGTGTCCATCCTCGCATGGATCAGCGGGTGGATTTGAACCGTGTGCTGTTGGGCTGGCAGGATAACTACCACCAGGCCTCCTGAGCTCCCTGATTGTCATTGTCCACGGTGCCCGTGCTGTCGTCTTCACCAGCACCGCAGTGGAGTCGTCGGTTCTCAGTTCTCAGTCGTTCCTGTCCAGCTTTCACGTGCACGTGACAGGGTTGGACACGCCATGACTTGAGTCAGGGGCGCCTTAGTCTCTATGTGACAGCCTTCCTCTTGAAGTTCTTTCCCCCACATTTTGGTCTGCTGTCTTCTGGCTCTGGTGCCAGCGAGGCAGGACTCCAGGTTCGGCTTGGTGAGAGAGAGCACCAGCATTTGGGCTGGGGGCAGGTTCTACCAGGCCCTCCCCTATCCTGGGGCTCAGGCTGCTGGCCACCCCCAAATCACAGTCCTCACTTGGCCCCCAGGCTGGGCAGCTCCTGCTTCTGTGGTATGAGGTGGTGGAGGTCTGGGGTTGGAGATCCTGTGCCTGTGAGGGCTAGCTGCTCCCAGGCCCCAGGGAGACGAGTGGTCCCCGCGGGGTGGGCCCTGCAATGACTGCCACCAGCCACCTCCTCCCCTGGGTCACAGTGAGTCAGCAGCAGGGTCACATGCAGCCAGCACACAGCCCCATGGTGGACAAGACGGCTGTGACCTGATGCGACCATCTCTAAAGCTGATGCTGCCATCACCCAGTGACAAACGGGGGGGTTCATGGGGCTGGGGACCCTGCCCTCCCAGGTCCTAGCGGGGCAAACCCACCCCACCCTTGGAAATACCAAATAAAGAAAATGGAGCCCGCTCAGGCTTGGTGTTTCTGCATAAACCTGCCTCTTGGATTTTACTTCTAAAATTTGTGTTTTGAGGGGATCTATGCAGCAGAACTTGCCACATAACCTGGAGTTCATGACGGTGACATCCCCCACTGTGGCCGTCACCCAAGGGCATCCAGATTAATCATTCTCAGACCTCAGGGAACCCTCTTGTAATGAGTGGGAAGTGTCCTACTGCTCAGTTTGGACCCACCCACAATCTCCTAGGGAGAAAGGCTGGCTGTGCCCATAAAACGACAGCATGGGTTTCCCATGTGGCATCCTGGCACTGAGGTCACTAGCAGAGGCAGCTCAGTGGCGCCCCTGGTGGCCAGTCGTATTGTGAGAAGCCACAGTGACTCTGGACCTACTGGTCACCCATCTATAGCATTTCTCCAGCTCTGCCTGGGTGGGGCCTGGGCCATGTCCCCTCAGTGTCCCCATGTCCTGTGGGTGGCACTGCCGGAAGCATTCAGCCACATTCCTATCGACAGCAGGTGTATACTGCAGACAGCATCCTCACCTATCTGGGGTAGGCAGTGTTTCAGGGTCAGGGCCAGCCTTGCCCTCTGCCCAGAGGCAGCACTGGGTGTCCCCACTGAAGCAGGGGGTGCCTGGCCCGGCAGTGAACACACAGCTGCCTTCTGCAAGGCTCCAGTCCACCCAGAGGTGCCTCAAAAAGCCCTGGCCATCTACCTCGGTGCTTGCTCCGGACGCGGTTCATGGGGGGTGTCACCGTGGGTCCGAGTTGCTACAGTTCAGGTTCTGATGAGCAACATGGAGATGGCTGGGAGGTGGGAGAGTCACGTTCCAATCTCGGCTTCCTCCAGGGGAGAGCAGCATGTCTACTCCTGTTTAATTGACTATGCAAAGGCATTTGACTGCGGAGATCATAGCAAACTACAGTGAATACTGAGAAGAAGGGGAATCCCTGAACATTGACTCACGCTCTTATGAAATCTCTTAGACCAAGAAGCTGCTTTCTGAATGGAGCAGCGGAACACTGCATGGTTTAAAATCAAGAAAAGTGTGCATGGGGCCTATATCCTGTCTCCGTAACGGTCAATCTGTATGCTGAGTAAGTGGCCTGAAACATTGCCTGTGGCCAGCAGGTGGCAGGCCTCACCACAGCTAGGCGTTCCAAGCCGGTCCCTAAGGGAGTGTTTGCAGGTAACACCTGGATGGAGGACGTCTGGGACCAGTGCAGCCTCCCAGAGATGTCACACGACTCACACAAAACGAAGCAGGTGAAGTGGATTTAAGTAAGAGACTTTATTTAGCCCAACACATCTGAAACTTTTTACTTTCCACATCTAATCAGTAGGAGCGTTGGTGGCCTGCCTAGTGTTAAAAAGCTGCTGCAATCCAGAAAGCACACGGATCAAATCCACCAGCCATCGCTGTGGAAGAAAGATGGGCAGACTCCTCCCCTGGGATTTACGGTCTCTGAAAACCCACCGGAGGGTCAGCTAGGAGTCAGTTCAACAACAACAATTAGGATTAAACAAATTATTACTTTCTCCAAGTCAGACACTGGTTGAGAAAGTAATTTTGAAAAACTATATATATGCGACCAAGATTGTATTGTGTATACAGGTTTTCAAAATGACTTTCCCGACCAGTGCCTGACTTTGTGCCACGCGGAGGCACGGGAGGACGTGAATCGGACGTGTTAGCCGATCCACGAGGGAATTGCTAATCTCGCTATTAAAGTGACTGGATCCAGCCCCAGAACTGGAGGCTCTTCCCCAGCAGCAGAGAGGCAGATGTAAGATCAGAGACTCTGACCTGCGGGAGCGGCTGTAGCAGCCACAGCAGAGAACCAGAGACGTAGCGAACACTGTCATTAGTGTCACACGCAAAACACTGCTGAGGGCCTTCCAAAAACGGCTAGAACAGGACATAGGGAACAGAAGTTCAGGCAGGGTTTAGGAGAGGCCGAGGCACCAGGGATATCACTGCTGATGTCAGATGGATCCTGCCTGAAAGTAAAGAACATCAGAAGAACGTCTGTTTAAGCTTTATTGACTAGGCAAAGGCATTTGACTGTGTGGATCATAACAAATCATGGCTGACATTGAGAAGAAAGGGAATCATAGAGAGCACTTAATTGTGTTCAAGGGGAAAAAAAACAAAAAAAAATTTCTGCCTCAGCAAAAGTTTTCATTAAAATTTTAGATAAATGAGAAAAAAACCACATCTATAGGGGAAGACCCTCTATGAGGTGGATTGATTCAGTGACTGGGGTAATCGGGATGGGTGTGTCAGACAGTGCGATTGGCACAGGATAGAGCACGGTTTAG